AGGGAAGGATGGAGGTGAAATGGGGAGGGGGAGGGGTGATAGGATAATTGTTCCACTTACTGGAAGGTGCTTCCTTGGTGAAAGGGTTGGGAGGGGGGAGTTCAGTTGGAACTGGAAAAGGGAGGAGGCTGTCAATAGTGGAAACGTTGAAGAAAATGGAGGTGGGGACAGATTCTGATGGGCAGTTGATCCTTTACTCTTGATCTCAGAATGTCGGAATTAGTCCCAGGTTTGTACAGGCACAGTCAGAGGATAATTTTCTAGTTTTCCATAGGGTTTTTCTGATCCCTGATCCTAAGGGTAGGTAGCTTGGAGGCTATTTTTCAGAGATGTGGACAGGGTCTTCATTGGTTTAGTGGTTAGTATACTCAGGCTCACAAAGAAATTAAAGAAATGACAAAGCTTTTTGTGCAAAGGACTCTACTGTTTGACTTGTATGCAGTCTTCCCTACTCTCAGCCATTTGATGCTCTGACGTGGCAAGAAAGCACGATCTAGCTTAGGGAGCCTTTACAGTTACAAGAATGCCTCCAGAGAGAATCAGTAACTCTGTAGTTTTGATGCTTGTACAGACTGCCTTGGATGAAGATTTCAGTAGGGGAAAAAAGAACATCTGATTTCAGTGATGAGATCCTGCATCTCTCCTTTAACCCTATCAGTACGTCGTGTTTTACTAAGGTATACATACGGCGGGAACTCTGTGCCACCACTTTCCAAAGAAGAAATTTACTCGTTAATCCGGTCCATGCGCTTTGCATAGCAATGTGAAGAATACAACCTCGGGGGTACAAAATGACCCCAGGGCGTACAGATAGGCATATTTTCACGAACACTTCTATTTTGTTTGCATTGTCAAACAAAAAATGACGAAATTATCATTTTGAATTGTGCTGTGGTTGGCACCCTCAGTATTCATTAGAAGCTCAGCTCATGTATAAAGTGTTCGTATTATATGGACTTAAAATCATGAGGACTAAAGGGGGGGAAAAGTCCTATTCAAAACAATATATCTTTTTGTACTGAGATTCATTTCACCAGAGTTTTTACAAGTAGTAGACTGGGTGGTCAGAGGGCACTAATGGGAGGTCCTATTTATTTTCCTTCCCTCAGTTGTTTCTGTCTGTCTGCCTGGAAAATGTTTAAGTGGTGGAAGAAATAGCTCAACTCATTTTTTGGTCTAAAACCTTTGCTGTGGTTTGTCGGTGGGTCCTCAGTAATTATAATCATGAGTGAGCATTTGACATGAATAATATAGAAGTCCATACTCTGTTTTCTTACTTGTGTGGGACTCTCGTCACTGAAATCAGAAGGGGTTTGGGGGTTGTTTTTTTAGTTTTTAGGAAGGTGGGGGGGGAGGGGTTGCATATATTTAAAATTTTCAAGGAATTAGTCACACAGACAGAGCATACAGACATCCACAGATGTGTGTTGTATGAACTCAAGAACCCCTCTGTTGTAACTGTAAATGGTCAGATATGCAAAAGAGTAGGAGTGGAGACAGGGAGACCACAGACAGGCTGGAAAAAGTGGTAAAAGTAAAATTAGGCCCCCATTTCAAACTTTCTTGACCCAGTAGGCAGATCCAGGAGCACTATGGGGTACAGTAAGATTGCAGCTATGTCTTTCAGGTGCAGTTTGAGTGGACTGTGATCATCTTGATAGGCGAAGGGGGGGAGAAGGATGTAATATTATATTCTTACCAAAAATGTTTGTGTTTGTGCTTCAGATCCTGTACTCAGACCTTAGGCAGAGCCAGACAGCTGTAGAGCAGGTGAACAACATACGGAGGAGAATTGTCGAGGCTGTTGCCACGGCGATGCAGAAGCAACAAAGTCCTGACCCTAGCTAGGCTGGACAGTGCGGAGTAAACGTAGTCTTAACTTTATGTCTATTGTGACCTTACCTTTTGAATCATGACTGGGCCTGAGTGTGTGTGCGTTGGGGTTTGGTTTGACGATGTGTGTGTGTGAGAGAGAGAAAGAGAGAGACTAGAGAGGGCGGGAAAATACTAAATAGGTGATTGGGTAAGGCAGGGGGGGTTGGTAACAATGAGGGGATATGTCTGGGAAAGAGAAAGTAAAAAGAGAATGTGACCTGGCTAATACCTCGTAGAGTTGTGATAGCCATGCTTATGTTGACAATGACTGTGTATCTAGACTATGTTGCCAGTGTGTTGAGGCTGTGTTGCCGGTGTGATATGTAACAGACACTTGTAGTATCTGTCGTTTGCATCTGTTCAATATGTGTACATGTATGTGTGCACTTGTAACTTATTGTTTTGCAGGTATGTGTGGGCAAATATTTATGAGTGGTTTTTTTATTTGTATGGTATGAGTGTTCATATATGTCCGTTTTCACATTTGATGATGTATGTGCTTACTTTTATGATATATGTATGTATGTTTTGTACAGTCTAGCAGGCACATCACAAAATTGAGGGGGTGCAGAAATCTGTTCTATAGTACAAATTCTGCTATGGAGGTGTTTTAGATACAACAATAAAAACATATTTGAGAAAAAAAATTGGTAACCTGAACATCTGTTCACTATGTGTAGTGTATGTTCGCAATGTGTAGGTTTGTGATGTGTTTGCTAGACTGTATGTATGTGTTTGGTCTGCAGATGTATGTATGTCTGTGTGTATGAGGGGAAGAAAGGGGCTGAAAAGAAAGAGAGAGAGGGGGGGGGGGGGATTTCACCTCTAGTACATAGGTTCATTGATATGTTTTCTCTTGATCCATTGTCTTTACTGTATGTTGTGTTGGCTCTGATGTGGTCACGTCCCGTCGAATGAGAACCTGCCCCCTTGGTGGACACCACCACCCAACTCCTTGCAACTGACCACTTATAGTAAAGACTGGATTTGTTACGCCCAACTCGTGTTTGTTCTTTTTGGTTTGTTTGGGGGTTTTTTGTGTGGATTTTTTTTTTCACCATGATTGTTTTGTGTTTGTTCTATGTGTGAGTGATGGGGGTGTAGAACATCTACAATAACTATTTTGTATCTGTTTTTTGTTTAGTTTTGTAAGTTTTATGGCACTTGCAACCTTGAACAATAACGACAACATGGCACTTGCAACACGAATACATGTAGGTCTCAAGTCATATAAATGCTGAGGATTAGAAAGTGGGTGGTTGGAGGGCGCCACTTGTAGGTCCTACTTCTTTACTCTCCATCTGTTGCTTCTGTCTGACTTACTTTTCCCAGCACAAAAACGACCATTGTTGTGTCCATGTGCTTCTCTTTACTCAAATGAAGATTCAAAGTGTTACAAGAGAGTAATATACAATGTAATAGAAAAGAAGGAGAGACAAGGGTGACAGATGTTTGATCAGAAAGAAGGAGCAAACCACACTGAGGCACCTGCCAACCACCCACTGTCTGTGTGTGTCCATGTTGCCTTTAATTATATCACACAACATGAAAGCATCTATTGTGAAATCAACTGATCATGTTTGCAATTTTCAGTTGACTGATCACTTAAACTATTTATAAAGAGCTGTATGTCCTCTACAAGATTTCTACAAAGGTTGATTAACAGTATAACAGACAACTGTCTCACATTTAATGCATAAAGTGGAGTCTGCTTAAACTGAAATCTGCGGGACTGCCTGATTTTCTTTAGTTTAGCTGGGTTTTTGGTTTAGAGAGGTTGCCTTGATAGAAAAAAATAAAATTGTGGATTTTACTTTCTTTCAGTTTATCACTGTTTTTGGATTAGCCATGTTCGGTTTCCTTTGTATAAATGTTTCAATTTTGGTACAAGTATCAGAATCATCTCCTATCCCTTGACAAAGTTTTGTTGATTCACATTCACAAAGATATATATTTCAGTACGATTCAGTCAATGAATAGGGAATGGGCTCATCTAGGTCCATGTAATAATTATAATTCTAAATATTATCAAAATTAAAACATAAGCTTAAGGAATAGCCTACTTTGATTGTATGATTATAAGTATTCAATTTATACATTGTAACAAAGATAGTACATTGTAATCAACGATACCACAGTCCAGCCTCGTTATACCGCTTACCTTGGGACGAGCATGAAGTTGGTGGTACGGGGTGGGCGGCACAACGAGGTTTCCATGTCCTCTGTTAAATACATGTAGCACTAACTGCCCAACGATCTATCACTGAGACTTGACAGTGAGTCGTCACTAAGTTATAATAGCATGCGCCAGTCTGTGGTGTAATGTATTTTGGACTGACGCCAGATATTTTGATGGGGGGAAGAAATTTCGGGGTTCCTTTAAAGTTTCTTCAGGCAACTTAAAAATTTAATTCCATTTTTTTTGTGTGGTAAATATTGACCAAGGCCTATATAATAGCATTTTCATAAGCAGAGCATCACGCGAGGAACGAATTTTAATGCAGTAGACTCCGCCTAAAGGCACATCATACAAAAGCACTCTCCGCTCAAACGCACGCTTTCGTCATCTGACGAGTTTTTTTTACTGTATAATTTAGACGTACAAACGCACGGTCTCTCCCTCTAAATGCACGCTCCGATCCGCGAACACACCGACAGGTAAAGCTCGACAAGGGAAATTTTTCTCTATAATCGCCCCCCC